TTTTATGAATATTATAATATGTTACATTATACTTACATTAGTATTTTCTTAATTTGGTAGGTTTAACAAATTGTTGTCATAACCTTTGCATATAATATTTTATTTTATTAAATATATGGGTTAAACCCTCTGAACATATATACACATTATACATATACTGTTACTCATTAACTGTACAATTTATGATAATATAATACAATTAATAGCTAGACAGTAAATTATAGGCATAGAAAAAACGAAGACTCAACATTAGAATTTTACATAATACGTGAAGGTAATTAGTGGAGGCGAAAGGAACATAAAAAARGACAACAGATCAGGAATAATGCGAGAAACTCTAAAAAAAAATAAGGAAACCTTGTATCTAGCTATTCAGGAACTTMATGTCCGAGATCCATCTRCACTCAGCCAGCGAAACTAACTSAAATTGAAAAGCAACTGGTCCATAGYTATGGGATTCACATGGGGTATTCAGTCTAAAACTAGCATACCTCATAAATTTACGTTGAACCCTTTCAAGGTTAAGAAAATTATTGAGGTTGTGAGAATCTCAAATTATGGCACCATAGTCTACAATAGGGAGAACAAGTGCACAATACAGCACCTTAACTATTACCATACATTATTATATTATTTTATGAAATATTAATTAATTATCTGTATGAATAATATAATAATGTATTGCAATTTATTTTAGTATAGATCATTAAATTAAATTTAAAAACATTTTTTTTTATTTTTTTTTTTTTTTTAATTAAAACGATTCAACATGATGACATACAATTTTGGTTTAAACTGGTTATGTTATTTTTAAATACATTTTTTTTAATTATTCACCTTTAAATGTCTTATCTAATACTAAAATTCCAGTTCGCATAAAAAATATAAATTTGAAGGTTTAATAAAATTTAATGAATTATGCGACACTAAATCGTGTTTAAGGGATCATTAGCTCACTATTGATTCAATAAATGTTAAGTGAATGTTTATGCAACTCATAACTAGTGTATTATCTTATCTTTGGGTATACACTGTACAGAATATATTTATTTACCAAATTAATATCATTCAAATTATAAATTCAAGTTTTTGTAGCTTTTAAATTCAAATAAGCTGTGTTTCTATAATCCTATTGGCTATTTCTCAATTATAAACATAACACATTAAAGATGTTATGTATGATATGTAACTCAATAACAACAAAGACATTGAATTTAATCAAATTTACACTTATTTTTAGAGCTGTCAAAGGGTTTGGTTAGGAATGTATGACTCAAAACAACCTACAAAAGATGAAAAACAAATAAAAGAATTTATGGTTGCAAAATACGAAAAAAAGATGTATTATTCTGATCAAGTTTCTCAAAAATTAAACAATGGTATTCAAGCAAGGCCTACGGTTACCACTGTAACTACAAATCATCAAGTAAATATAAATTATTTAAGTTTTATTGAAATTTCTAACTATTTTAATATTTAATTATATATTTTAATTTATTAACTATTTAAAGAAAACTAGTACGACTTCTACGCCTGCAATAAATATATCATCTCCTAACAAATTTGAGTTTTTGAAAGAAGAACCCTCAAACCAAAATCAATCTCCAATTCAAACATCTCAATCTTTTGCAAATTTCGATAATAATCCAGTATTTTCTACATCTTTTGATACTTCTAAAAATATTGGTATGTATAACTCATAATATTTTGTTAAGTACTAAATTTAATTATTTAGATATAGATACTACACATGTTTACTATTTAATGATAAGTTTTAAGCTTTTTAAATGACTTAAAAAGTGTGAAACCTTTAAAATTAAATCTCAAAATTTTAGTTTTGTATTTTATATTGAAGATTTACTTCTAAGTTACAGCAATTGACAATTCTGTTGTATTGGTATCTTTATGTTTTCGATAATTTTCAAATGATTTAGTTTCTAATCACAAAATATTACAATWTAAAAATAATACATATATAGTATTACAATTTATGAAAAAAAAAAAAAATTATTCAATTTTTATGGATTATATGTATTAGGTAGGTACTATAAATAATTATATTTTAGTTTACTAATGCAGTGCCAAACTTAAAACACAACTAATACAAATTTACATAATTGCTAATATTTTATACTTAAATATAAAAAATAATAAAATAAAACTAATAGTAATCCTAATTGTATATTTTATGAAGTTTAAATAACTTTTGAATTTTGAGATATTATAATTTTTTTCTTAACTATGAACACAATTTTAATATTAATATAATTTATTTGTCAGCTCCAACAAAACTAAACACTGAATTTATACTCTGTTTCAAAAGAGAATAATCACCATTGCACATACTAATTATGGCTGTGATAGTGTTGAGGCCAATTTTTCCCCACCCTGTTAGTCAACATTTCCCAAAGATAATGTATGAACTTTTACAACTATTTGAATCTAGTGGTTCCCATTAATATGGTTTGTTGGTGACAGATGTGCAAAGACTGACTAAAATCGAACTGATTATTCTATTTTGAAATAGTATAATTAACTTTTAATTCAGGTTTTATTTTTGCATGTTTAAAATCTAAATTTAAAAGTAGATAAGTACACTTCATTTTTTATATTTATATATACATTTAGAAAACAAAATAAATTTCTTAAAAGGATGCCACACCYTGATTTTTCATCAACGTCTTATAAGTAATATACCAAATTTATGTTTAGTTTGTCCTAGTTTTAATATACAAGCAAATTAGCAAATTACTTGATCTGATCTTAATAAAAAATATTCTGTCTGTGTTTTGTTGAAAGTTTTTATTAATCCTTAATTTTTATATGAGTTATAAGTATGCAAAATATTATAATTTAAAAATGCTTATAAAAAATAGAATTWCAAAAAAATAACAACTTTATCAAAACGCTAAAAATGTTGTTGTTTTTAAGTTTAAAAATAGCTAAATTCACATTGATATTAAGCATAGTGAAACCAAATGTGAACTGCCCAACATAAGTTTGATATGTTTTTCATTTGTAAGGAGACAACAAATGTGGGTGTGGTGTCCTCSAAAAAATATTAAAACAAAATTTATGATGACCTAATATCTATTGGTTTATGTTAAGATTTAAATTTTAAGTTTGTTCAACCACTTCAAACTGGATATTTTGATTATTTGACATCAAATCCAATACATTTTTCACCAGCAAGAAAACCAAACAACATAAATAATCGATGGAGTGAGTCTTAAATTGGTTTGGTGATGTGATTAATTACATCCTTGGTTGTAGAACTTAGAAATAATTGTTTTCAATAGCACTTGTTTTTTAATATTTGCTTTAGTATGTTCTCTTTTACTTTTTGTTTGTTTGTACCAATATCCAAAAAAATATTTAATTAAAAATTATTAACTAAATTTTAGTCTTTATTGTATTTTTAATTAAAATAATTTGACTACAAATTCACTCAATTAAAAATATAATAATAATATTTTA